AGTCTTTACCTAGTGAGAGTGCCTTGATTAGGATTATACATTCTACCTTCTGTGTTGATGTACCCAGAGGAAATTTCTCTGCTTCTAGGACCTATTGCAGGGTAACCACAACATACCAGGCTTTCTGTTGTTTTGAACCATATAACTACTTTCATCAGTGAACATTTCTAAGTCCAGATTATATAAACAAAATTGGTCAATGTCAGCTTGGCTAGAATAAATTTGCTAAATAATTGGTAAGCAATCATTATTAGATTAGAAAGGTTTGGTGAAGTAACGTAGCAGGGTTTAGAGTGGAGACAGCCCTCAAAATGACATACCCAGGAGGAAGAGCTGCTATCTCTTCAATATTTAGAAGTAAGGCAGTAACCTTCCTTCTGTTGCAACAAGGAATACATAGTGTGGGATATGTGCTGTGGTTGGTTGATCTAAGTAAAATTTTCTGCTCCCTGTATAAGATCACAAGTAGCAGTGATAGCTCAAGGTCAAGAAAGTCAATCCCTCATGACAATGACCAATGTTTTTTAATTAATTGTATTTCAGATTCAAGTTTTATATGTGCAGGTTGGTGATCTATTGTATGATGGTGTGGCTGGGCTTCTTTTGATTAGAAATAGGGAACATGGTTTTTGAACCTTGCCTCCCTTACTCATTTCCTCTTTTAGGAGTTCCCAGTGCCTGTTTTCCCCATTTTTATGTCTTTGTGTACCCAGTGTTTAGCTCTCACCTATGAAAACAAACCGTATTCGTTTTTCTGCTTCTGCATTAAATCACTTAGAATAAAGCCTCAAGCTGCAACTGTGTTGCTGCAAAGTACATAATTCCATTCCTTTTTTGTACTGGCAAAGTGACCATGTCACAAGGAGACCAATGAGATCTAAGTAGCCCATACTGCAGGAAGGCCTAAGCAGAAGCTAAATGCCTTACCATGCCCGTTCTCTCAGAGGATACTTCTTTAGATTTCCCAGTGCTACTACTGCATGAACCTTGACTTGTACTGAGGCTGCAGTTGCTGTGTTTTCTGGCCTCCCATCTGTTTGTGCTCTTGGACCCACCTCTTATAGTATCTTTTCAGAGAAGGTAATGCTTTTAAGGACATCCAGTTGCAGTAATGCAGTTTGCAGACCACATGCTTGTTATGGAGACACCTGAATATCTTGGATAAAAGTCACCTTAGCATAACGTTTTGTTAAGAGGTATTGTTCCAACCAAGGGTTAGTCACTCGAGACATGTGTAAAAAAGTTTGTGTTAAATGAGCTTATTCTGGTTGACAATTCAAAGGCTGGAATAATGATCCCAACAGTACTTTTTGCAAGACCCAGTAACCTTCATAATCTCTGAAGAATGTTTGGGCAATAAGGTATTTAGCATTGAATAAGTGACACAGCATCTACTATAAGTTGCAAAAGCTTGTTTTCTACCATTATTGGGACCAAAGACTCCATGTGGGAAATGTGGGAGGGTGTTATTTGGGTGGAACTAGAGACCTTCATTAGGCTGCTTGACTTCCTGAATCTGACTTGAGGCTTTTTTTCTTGGCCTCTATTTGGTAGAGGTTGGCCACAATGCAGTTTTGATAATGTTTGAGTTTGGGTCTACCCCCAGTGTTTGCATTCTATCCAAGATCAAAGGTGGAAAATACAACACGAGTAACCGTCCTTATTGAATTATCGTAGTCAGCATGCCTAATGTCAACTTCATTTCTAGCTTTATCTAAAAACATTATCCACTCCTCTCAAGTCAATAAATATTAAGGAAACTTTGGACATCTGCCCAAGTGGGGCTAAGGGTAGCAGATATGGAGAACAGCCTCTTTATCTCCTTCAAATCTTCTCAATAAGTGGGCATATTGTTTTTCTAATAAAACAGGGCTGAGGTGGAGAACAAAGGATTAACCCAGATAAATATCACTAGTGACTTGTGGCAGCATTAACACCTCCTATTAGTAGTCATCACAGAGAAATTTGCCCTCTGTGTGGCACTCTGGCCCAACTGAGTTTCCTGTTGGGTATGAGATGAGAGATGAGATGAGACACCTATGCTATGGCCTTGGATATAAATCCTTTTGAAGGTGGGGACACTGTCCCAGGTGCTGGTGGTGCCACTGACTCATAATGTAGGAGAGGGAAAACCATAGGTTCAATTCACTGATCATGATGACCTCATTTTCTTTTTCTTGTAACTCATTTAAGTCTAGTTTTATTTTCTTGCTGGACCATGCTTTTACATTTTTCTGCATGATCTATTTTTCCAAAGTTTGATCTATCACTCCTGACCTGATTTAAAATGTACTGTACTAATTAGTGTGATGAAATCTTGTGCCATCCAGCTCCAGCCTACCTGGGGCATGAATCATTCTACTGCTCCACGTGTCACATTCTGTATGCTACTTGCCTGTTAGTTACTTGGTAGCTTTTCAATTATCAGATTGAAAAATATTATATATATAGGATTTTGAGCTATTCATCATTTCAGGCATCAACTGGGGTCTTGGAACTTTTCCCTGTTTATAAAAAGCGACATAGTCCCCAACTGATAAGGGAGAACTATTGTATCTTTTATTTCCCACAGATACAGGGAGACTGCTGTATCTTCAGAAGCAAAAATCAAAATGGTACTAATATTTAAATTTTAATAACAAGTTAAGGGGATTTGGTATTCTGTGATCCATTTGAATAACTTTTTAAATGACTAATTCAAAGGAAACAACAGGGGGTCTGCATACAGAATATATTCTAATATATATCTATTCTAGTCACTTAAGTGTATTTGAAGCCCTCTGCCTATTCTCGCAAACTGGTTATGAGAGATTTTGATTTCATCAATGGTAAAGTACTGTGATTCACAGATGATGGAATATATACTAATGACATAATGTCTCTATCTCAATATGATGATCAAGCTAAGATCTGTTAATTATATGATGAGCATAAAATACCTTAATAGCCTGAATAATGTCCAGAGCCTAGCATGAAGTATAAAATAATAAAATTCTTATAAACAACTTGAGAGAGACAGACTTAAGACAGAAAGAAAGAAAGAAAGAAAGAAAGAAAGAAAGAAAGAAAGAGAAAGAAATGAAGGAAGGAAAGTAGGAAGGAAGAGGGAGGAAAGGAGGGATTACAAGTGGTTGACTCTGCCAATTCCAAAACCAAAGCAAATAGCATACAATTTGATTCAGTTGTTTGATATTACATACAACTTGATTCAGTTGATTCAGTTGTTTGATATTACATACAATTTGATTCAGTTGTTTGAGAAATTTTATATCAAATCAAGGCAAATTATTAGCCTCTACTAGTCTGCCAGAAAAAAATTTTAAAATAGTAGGATCATCAGACACTGAATGATGAAATTCAACAAAAACTAATATTAAAAGTTAGGGTTAAAAGTCATGACTAGATATCAATTTTTGTTATAGTAAATAGAATAGAAGGCTACTGGAACACTGGTGGAAAGAGTATTTACTAATAGGGCATTCTTGAATGCTCATATACATATGTATATATCATAAGTATACTTGTAATATACTGTATGAGAAAAATAGGGTATTGCTGAGGAAAATTGAGTTCTTATATTTTATGTAAATGAAATATAGTTTTCATCATGAATAAAATCAACACAGAATGAATTAAAAATATTAGAAAAGGAAAAAAACTATTATAGCATTTTAGAATAAAAGTAGTATAATGTCTCTGTTTTTAAAGAGAACTACTACTCTAGACACAAAAAATTAACCATGAAAAACTATTGGTAATTTTTAGTAAAATGAACAACCTTGTTCATTTTTTTTAGTTTCCAATTTTTTTTATTTTTTATTTTAAAGATGTGGGGTACAATTCAGGTTTAAATATACAAATGGTCATTGTTCAGGTAAAGTTTGGGCCTCACTTTGTGTCCCATTTCACCTGGTTTAACATCAGGTACTCTTATTGATGAAGTGTGCCCCCCTCCCTCCCCCGGCAGTTTCCCACTACTGCCAATCCCTTTCTTATAGTATTATGATAATTTTTCACAGTCTGCTTATGAGTAAGAACATGTGGTACTCAGTTATTTGTTTCTTTGATATATCACTGAGTATTATAGACTCTAAGTCCATCTAAGTTTCTGCAAAGTTCATAATTTTGTTCTTCTTTATGACTGCATAATATTCCATCATGTATATATGTACCACATTTTTTATATCCAGTCCTCTTTCGATGGGCAGCACAGTTGGTTCTGTTTTTGCTTTCATGAATAATGCTGCAATAAACATGCATGTGCAGGTATCTTTTTCAACGAGTAATTTAAGTTCCCTCACAATTTTTATTTCAATTTTTATTTTAAAGGTGTGGGTTACAATTCAGGGTTAGTTATAAAAATGATCAATAAGGATACCTGATCTCAAACAAGGTGATGTGGGGACCACAATGAGGCCCTAATTTTACCTGTACAATTTATGTTCATAACATATAAAAAAAGAAAAATATGTGCCACATAAATGAATGAATTTGCATTACATATAATTGAAAGAGGATTAATATTCGGAATTACTAAGATTCCTACAATGACCCAGAAAATTCATTTTTCATTACATATCTTAGAGAATCTTAGATATAAATTGCTATAATACAAAAGTTATATCACTGCTTATATATATAGTGATATTTTTGACTATCATTGTATTTATTTTCTATTTTCACTATAATTTTATGTTATTTTGAGTCAAATGACTAAATGTTTTCAATATACATTTATTGATAATATGACTTCATTTACCCAACTAGCATTGTGTCCAAATTCTTTTACTGTATTCTTGACTAATGTCTGTTGATAGGAGCAATTATTTTGCTATATACTTATCAAGAAATTTATATATTCACTTATACCTAGTTGAAAAAAATAAAACCAAATAGGTTCATTGACATAATAAGAAGTCAACAAAGACATTTTGCCAAAGTTCTTGGAGGGGAGTCTTAGAAAATTATGAACATAGGAAATCTGAGAGCAGTTCACTTACTGACAAGAAGGCATCTAAGTGGAGGAGACCAGTCATTCTCTGTACATGTAATTGAGGTCTGCTCATTTGGAGGACTGTAGCTAGGATAGCAGTCAACTTTTATAGATTGACTCTGCATGTATGCTTTTTTACACTTGGGAAAACTTCCATTTACTAAATCACTCAAAATACATTGTCTTAAAGACCATAAAAATGATACATAAATGAAAGTAAATGAGAAATATGAATTGTTTATTAAACATGAATGGTATATTAAAATTGTCTTATAATATTTAAATAATAAAAACAAATAATTAATTATAATGTTATCGATTGGTATTATTATAAGTAGTAATAATAAATTAAATAATAAAATAAATTGAATAAAATAACTTGTAATTTTAAATATGATTGAACCCAAAAATGCATAACTTAAGAAAAACTAAAGCTACTACCAAATATGTGTACAATAATTATCAATATTCAATGCTATTTATCTTTTGATTTTATAATTAAAATATATATGCATTACAGAGATATTCTAGTAGAGTCTCTATTTATTTCTCGTGTGGTTTTTCAGGAAGATTTCTTCACAGCAGTAAAGATCTATTTTGGTCTTTTTGCTTAAACAACTCCTCTTGGCCCTGTTTTGGTAAGATTTAATTGTAATCACTTATGTGCTCTCTGATCTACAATCTTTGGAAGAAATATCCTCCAATGGGTACAGGAAAGGATAGCCGATATGCATCCTCATCATATATAGCCTTCCATGTTTTAATTCTGGAAAATCACAATGCTTCACTTGCAAGAAAAACAAAAAGCTGTATGAATAATGATGTATCTTAATGAACAATCATAATAAATATCAATATATTTCACTGATGAATTGTATTCTCTTATTAACATAATTATCCTCATCAAATTCAGGTTTTTAGGGGAAGTAAAGTCACAGAATTCAGATGACTGAGTTGTGTAAAAAAGTATGTGTGAGTGAAGATGAAATTATTATAAGGTATATATATAATATTTGAGAAAATTTTCCATTTTCATGGGATGACTAAAAGATAATTTAAACCTTTAATACCAGAATCATGTTATTTCTATGAAAAATGTTCTTTTTCAAGAAATATGCTACACATTGTAAAAAATTCCAACACATTTACTACACAAAACACACACACAAATATTGCTTATTATCTGAATTTTCCTAAGTTTCCTGAATTTTTATTATTTTTTAATTAGAGATGTTTTCATACAGTATCTACAGTTTCTTGTTATGTGGATTATAACCTGAATTCTTGTATATGTTTAATGTCTTTCTTCCACAAATGTTTGTGAACTGCTTTTCTAGGTATAGATTCTTGACCTGCAGCCCATAGTTTTCTTCATCTAGAAATGCTTTTTTCACTCTTTTGAAGTTTCTAAAGTTGTAAATTAAAAGTTCATTTAGAGCCGGGCTCGGTGGCTCAGCCTGTAATCCCGCGCTTGGGAGGCTGAGGTGAGTGGATTGCCTGAGCCCGTGGGTTCGAGACCCGCCTGGGCAGGCGAGACCTCATCTCTACAATAAATCAAAAAAATCAGCCGGGCGTGGTAGCACATGCCTATAATTCTGGCTATTTGGAAGGCTGAGGCGGAAGGATCGCCAGAGCCCAGCAGGTCGAGGCTGCGGTGGCCGGGAGCGGCCACTGCACTCCAGTCTGGGTGACAGAGTGAGACTCCAACTCAAAAAAAAAAAAAAGCTCATTTAGTATTATTCCTTATAAACAACATTCTAATTACTCTGTAATTACTGTAAGTCTTTCTTTTAAAAACTTGGAAATGATATACCCTCTAGATTCAGTCTCTTGGCCTACAGTCTGTATCATTAATACATTTTTACCAAAATTGTATCATCCAATGTTTAACTTAAAATGCTCATTTAGTCTCATGTCTTCTAAGTTACATTTTTTTCCCCCAACACATTTGGAAATTATCATTGGTATTATTATCTCCTTACCCTCAAATTTTGCAAATTTCCTCATTAAGCATGCAGATATATATCCCTCAACACTAATTCCATCTTGGGCAAGCTTGAGTCTATGGATTTGCAGGAAGTGAGTATTACAAATTTACTTAAATTTCCCATAAAATTATAGAAGAGAGATTTGAACTTTGGTGATCTGATTTCAGAACTAGTATGGTTATCTGTTGCATTATGGTGTTTTGTAGGATATAAATAAAATATAATAGTCCACAGAGATTTATTTTCAAAATGTCAAAAGGGAAGCACAATTAAAAATAGGTATCATTATTACCACAGCCTTGAGACCCTTTACTAATTTTCTTTTTCACTGTACACTTTTAAATCTGTTTTTATCTTTTCTACACAGCAGTTCCTTGAAGCAAATATAATATTCCATATGATATCATCATACTTGCACATTACAATGTTCATTTATTCTGGTATGAGTTCCCTGCGACACACTCCCTACCCCCACTCTATATGATGATGCAAAGCAGAAACCAATGCAAAAACAATTGAACACACAAACACAGACATACACTTACCCAAAAACAAACTGAAATAACAACAAAGTTAAACAAAACAAATAACAACAAAAAAAAACAACAAAAGTCAGCACACACATACATACCTAGCACAAAGTGAATACAGAAGAAACACAGAAAGACCAGAGAGGAAAAAAAATAAAGGAATTCTGGTTGAACCCTCACACATATATTGCCACACACCTTAAACTATAAAATAAGTAAATTAAAAAAAACAAATAGCGAAACCAAACCAACAATAACAACAAAATTGAAAGATATATGCTCAATCATTCACATATACACCTAAACAGAAAACAACAAATAAAGGAAGAAAGAAAGAAAAAAATCCGGGGGGGCGGGCAATTCAGATCAAACCCTCACCTACACATTCATGCAAAAAGGAAAAATATTTTTAAAATAGTTGAACTAACAGTCAATAAATTTAAATAAAAACATATTTAATTGAAAATTAAAAGAAAAAACAACCCTGCTCTCTTGTGACAGGCTCTGTAATTGTTCCTCTAATCAGGTCTCTCCTGCAGGGCCACCTCTTTCTTTCACTCTCTCCTCAGTGTCTGAAGAAGGGAAGGAGTAGGGGCAGTGGGGGTGGGTGGGCTGCAGCCCTCCCCTCCCACTATGGTATGGTCAGGGAGATCTCCTCTGGTGGGGAGGTTCAGGATTGTCTCTTCCCCAGGTATATATGCACAGAAGGTGCTCCAGCCAGGCCTATCCTGGAATGGGGACCTCCTATTGCATCTGATGTCCAGGCTCCACCTGGGTTTGTCCCTCTCAGTTGTGGCCCAGCTGTGTGGGTCTGATGTTCAGAGGATTGCTGGGGAGGAGGGGGCTTGGGTCTGCCCCAGACTCACCACTAATCTCTTTGAAGTCCCTCCTCTTCCTTTTTTGGTCACACCCTTTGTCCTGCAGCTAGATCAGGGTAGTAGGTGCAGTGCCTGGAACTCAATACTCCTCAGATTCCTCCAAAGTTTGTGCTTTCAGAAACTTCCCTATGGATCACTATCAATCCCTGAGTAGTTGATCTGCCAGTCACAGAGATCAGGTCTGTTGCTCCGTGGTGAGCAACTATGAGTACTTTCCCACCCTTGTTGTCCTCTTTTGTGGGACTTTGCCTTTGAACTCCTTCCGCAGTCCCTGCTTCCAGTGCTCTGCCAGGCACAGAAGTGGTGAGGCAAAGCCAGGAGCTGGCAGTCTGTCTCCTGCTGCAATGGTGAGGAAGAGCCTGAGGCAATCATTTCTCCTTGCTGCTTTTTCACAGGAAAACTTTCATCCATTAAAAAGAAATAATGGCACTTGGCTTCTGTGTCCTGGGAAGAACTAGGGATGAAGCAGAGAAGCTGCAGCACCAGCTGTTGCACCAGGGGCCTAGCCACTTGCTCACAAGCCCTCACTTAAATAGTTTCTCTCAGCATCTTCTTCCCAGGGAGGGTTTGTTGATTTTAATTTTAAAAAAAAAGAAAGAAAGAGAGAATGGAGCTCAGCTTCTGCATCCCAGGAGTCACTAGGGTCCAAGCTCAGCAGTTGTGGCACCAGTTGCTGAACCAGGAGAGCCCTGGTTGCTTGCTCTCTAGCCCTCACTCAGTCAGCCACTCATATGCCCACTTGCTCACCAGCTCATACACAAAATTTTCCATGCACTCACTCACTCACACAGGGACTTACATAGTCCGACTGGATCAGTGGCCATTTTTCAAGCTCATAAACTTACACATAAAATTTTAAAGTAAAAACATTATAACTGTGAACATAATTATAGTATAATAACATAAAATTTTGCTAAAAGTGGGCATATATTAAATGAATAACTCTGATTTTCTCAGTGTTTAGAAGAATATAAATAATTTGCTTGTCTTGGTAATTGTGTTCTCTTCATAATTAAAATTACATATTTAGAACCTCAAAATTTAAACTGGGACTAGCATTGAAACTCAAATGTGTCCCTGGAGCATAGACCTGAGTTAGAAAGGAAAATGCATAGCATGTAACCTTTATTTGAGTGTGCAGATTAACACAGTCTCCCTGATAAGGAAAAGTGATGATTGAGTGAGAAACCCCTGGAAATCCACACCTGAGCCATGGACCATTACAATCCTGACCATAGGAGAGTCCCTTTGATACTCCTGGTTCCTCAAAGTAACACAGGAATCTGCCTGAAAACTGTGCAGAGTCACTGCTCTAGTCCATGAGGAATTCCACAGGCTTTTCTCTCTGAGCAGGCCAGGTTTGACTGTGACCATCCAATCATAAATTACAATATTTCTAGTAAACAAAAGCTGAGAAAGTTTGTTACCACTAGAACTACCCTTCAAGAAATGTCTAATGGAGTCCTGCAGGGTAAAATGAAAGAATATAAGATGGTAACTAGGAGTTGTAGAAAGAAAAAAAGATGTGGGAACTAATTCAAGATGGCAATCTAGTAGTAGCCTACTGGCATGTCTTTCACAGAAGAGATGTAGGAGGAGGGCTCCAGCAGTCAGTGATCCTCAGCAACTTGAGCTGGCTAAGATGGAGACAGCAGCACACATCTCACAGATGACTCTTGGGACACAAGGAGAGTTAGAGAGAGAGAGAGAGAGAGAGAGAGAGAGCAGG